CAGGAAGAAAAGGAATTAGTATATCACTGTCCTACCACTACAGTTGTGAAGACTGGTACTGCAGCTATGCTTGATCCACTTGCCCTTTCAGATAATGGAAGCAAATGAGAATTCCCAGACAGGGACTAAATAGGAGTTCTAATACATACTTCAGATTAAAAAAAGAAGTAGAAATGCTAGCATTTCTTTGTAAATAAACATACCATGTGAGACAATGAGATTATGAGTAAGTGCAGAAATAACTGTGCTGACTTATCCTTGTCTCTGACAGCAGCCAGTACAAAATGTATAAAAAAGGAAGACAAACAGTAGAGAAAGTGTGCAGTAACTTGACTTAAAATAGTATTTTCCTTACAGTTATAGACTGGTTTGTGTCACGTGGCTTCATTAAGTATCAGTTCCCAAGCTTTCATGTATTTAAAAAAACCTCAATCTCTTTTCTTACCTGGCAATAGCTGAATGAAGCCATCTGAAGCAGTTAACATCACAGGCAGCCAACGTTCACACCCCTCTAGAGCTCGATCAGAGCTGAACTTGTGTAATTCATGTAGTGAAGAGAAGTTGCACAGCCTACACAGTTCATAAAACTGAGGCGGAGGAAACCACATTTCTTGAGATTTAAAGCGTTCAATGGCCTCTGGAGGCGACGACCACTGAAAAATGGAAGCAAGCCTTTAAATAATAGTATTCTCAGCAGATAGAAAGCATCAGTAACTTAAAAAGCCATCAGCAAGGAAGTCTACAGGAAAAAGAGCTTGTAATGATAAAAAATTACTTTTTTTTCCCCCTATAAAAACAAGCAAGTTTCTGTTTTACATGTAAACATGCCAAGTTTGGAAACTAAAATTGCAACTTGTCTTAGAGGCTTGACTAAGTCTGCTCAAACCAACAGAAAACCTTAAACTCAATGTGAACTGTTAACAGAACTCAGTTAACAGGGGTTGCTACTGATACTTTTAATTCTTAAAAGTACCTCTTAAACATCTGCTTCCTGTATACATTGCTTTTACAGCATGAACACCCAGCCATTTATGCTTAAATATGATGTTGGTTTCCATGTGTAAACTATCAGTAATCTTAATTTAATCTCAAATGGTGAATTTGATTATCTGTGTGCATAAGCAGTAGGTGAAAGTTGTTACTAACAAAATTGTAACACATGTGAACTCTTTCTGTAGAATCTTAAGTACTTTTAAATCTCCACAGCAAGATCTGTTAAAAAATATTAAAAAATCAGTCATATCAAAATTGTCAGATAAACTTTTACAGACCTGTCTGGTTTCTCATCTACTTCTAACTTTCTTTCAGACTTTTCAGAATTCTAAAACAACTTAAAAAGATCCCAGTGTACCTGACCCTGAGCTGCCTTTAAGATGAAGTTTTATTACACTTTTATCCCTTCCAATTAAAACAAAAGTAGAAAAAAAATAAAATACTCCATATGGCTCAAAAAATGGTCTTAGTAATACATTCTTCCAACAAATTTGTAAGTAACTTTAAATATTCCAGGTAACTACAAAATTAAAACTTCCAGCAGCTCTTGAATGGCTGGAACTCTGTGCATGCTACATGGACTTCTCCAGGCATACTAAGGGTGTAATGGCAATTCTCCATTGGTACTGCACAAATGAACCTATCAAAGGGATTACTTGTCATACACCTTTGAAAGATCCAGTAATTATGTGAAAATGCTGTGACGTGACACACGCCCTGTGCCATAAAACATCACGTAAAATGACTCCCAAGAAACCCCCTCTTCTCCCAGCTGCACGATCAAGCAAGGGAGGCAGTGGCAGCTACTGATGGGAAGTACGAGGGATTACCATGACGATGAAAACCTTTTCTCGCATCTTAAGGGACTGTGTTTAAGTATGTGATGGGTAGCGGGCACCGGCCAGAAGCACAGCGGTTTCTCTGCGGCGGAGGCTGTGGGGGGGGGCTGCCGGGGTCGGGAACGGGGCCCCTTGTGCTTGGGATGTGCTGCAGGATACTCGCAGGGAATCGGAGGAGGGCGG